CACACACACGTTCACACACACGTTCACACACACACACGTTCACACAAACGCATGCGTTGTCGGAAAATAGTTATTCGGTCTTTAAAGTTATAAATATGAACCTGAACCATGACGATGCCGCAGTTAAGGAGGAATATTTAAGCGAATCTTTAAATGATAATGATGATATAAAAGAGATGAATGACGCTCTGATTTCCAGAAACCGTAAAGTTAATCATAAAAGTTTTTAAGCCACATCACAAAGTCTGCAGTGGAAGCTGAACACAGGAGTTTGAAAGGACTTTGAAATGTGAGATTTTACGAAATAAAGGATTTGGATTTAAATAATGAAAACATGTTTGTATCGCCAGGAACAGAATGTGGGGTCCCACCGGGAAATATTCCACAGTTTTATATGTAATTCAAACCAAAGCAAAATCTACTCAAACCCCTCATCACAGTTTGCATAGATCTGAGGTGCAATCAGTCTGAACGACCCTAAACTTCATCTGAACTGTTTTAGAGGCTTGGAATTATAAAATGATTTACTGGGGCTGGAAATGTCTTGTTTTCACTCTTGTTGATTTGTGTCACAAAAACTACAGATCGGGTTTCCGTGAAACTTGGCGGCAGGATCGGACACAGGCCAAGAAAGGTCCAGTTAAATTTTGGTCTGGATCTGGACTAAGGCGAAGATAAACGGGCAAATCCAGGAATTAATTTTTACCACCTTAACTTAGCGAGATAGAGCGTTAGGCTTTAGGCATTGGCGGGGGTGTGTGTGTTCCTTTCTAGTTCTCATTATCGATTAGAAATAATTATTTAATCTATAAAATATCACAAAGCAATCGGTCGGATTATGATGAGGGCTAAAGACAGCAGTTAATATTCATACTTTAGGAGCTGAGTCTTTCGTTTCATTTTTAATTCTTGTTTCCAGTTTGTCCCAGTAAAAAAAGATTACACCACAGTATAGTTTGTTTTTTCTTTCTATCTTGTCATCTTGCAACCCGGAGCCTCTACATTTTATCGTGTACAAATGTTCTGGCACCACAAAGGTCTGCACCACATTCTCAGAGCAGTAGTTATTGGGATATTTCCTAACTTGACCGACATTGACGTCCCTGGAGCGCTGCCACTAACGTGTCTAAAAAAAAAAAAAGTTTTCACAATAACTGTGGTCGGTCGTTACAGCGTGCGTGTGGGTAATTGTGTAGTTTGGAGATAACTGCTGGGAAATCAGAGGGTTGGTCGACTGAATGTGTGGCGGGGTGGACGAGAGGGCAACGCTGGGGGCCGAGCAAGGCGGTGGGCTCCTGCAGGATCCAGAGAGTCGTAAATGTAAAATAGTGTGCCACTGTGTGTGTGTGTGTGTGTGTGTGTGTATGTGTGTGTGTGCCTGAGCGGGTG